CACACACACACACACACACACAAAGTGTTGTTCCATTCAGTGTTTTATCACAATTTAAATTTATAACAGAGGAAGTTCCTGAGGAACTAAAAACTAAATGTTACTCTGTTAACAGCTCAAACAGTAAGACACAAACACTAATTACATTGACTTTTTCACAGATGCTCCTTTCGGGAAATAAAATGGACAACTCTTGATATTTGATTGCATATTTTAGTGTCTCACAAACCTGAGCAGAGTTTGAGACATTCTCCTTTAGTATAAAATCAGATTTCTGTCTCGTTCTCACCTTAAAGACGTTTTTTCTGCTGGACAGATTGTTGGCCCACTGAAGCTGAGCTCCTCTCAGATCCACGCTGCTCTCTGGACGACTGTTACCCGGTTTCTGCATGCAAACACACACATACTCACAAATATTTCACTTTTAAAGCATTAGACACTGAACTGACCATATTCCCTGTTAGTCTCACCCAGCTGTCAGGATTCTGGCTTTTGGGGTCTTTGAAGAAGACGAGACTGTTTCCCACCAGCACCACCCATGACAGGTTCCAGTTTTTCCTGAAAATGACACAAAAACATCATTTTTGCTCTATTCTAGTTGAGAAAACTGTACAGAGAGACTCCATTTAGGAGCACGACCCAGAGGTCAAAAGGTCAAAACCATTTATTTATTGTCCTTTATTGTTGCCTACTGTAAATGGTGCAATAAAATATTTATATAAATATTTCTGGGACATCTGACAAACTTAATAGGTCAGAATAGAACTAAAAACAGCACAAATAAAATATATACAACATCTGAAAATTATTATAGTTAATATTTTGTAACGAATGTAAAAAAAATATTATATATTTATATATTTGTTTAATAAATATTTATAAGTACATATTATAATTTAAATAAAATAAAAAATTAGATTAAATTAATTAAACTACATTCCCTGTCTGCTGCCTAAATGGCTCAAAAATGTTAGTAAATCAAAAAACACACTATTTTCATCCACTGAACCACTCGTAGCTTACCGTTTACAGTATCATAGTTTACCATATCTGACTGCTTAACATTAACCATCCTAAACCTCACTACACTTTTTATGCTTAAAACACAGAAAGAAAAAAAAAACTATTTGCCAATCTGGCAGAAAAAAAACACTTGTCATGTGCAATTCTTGTGCAATTTTGCTTCTCAAGAACCTGAGGATGCTGAGACATTTTAACTGGAAAACAAGACAAAAACGCTGATTAAGAAGCAGTTTTTGTGCAACTCGAGCCAAATTCTGCCTGTAATCTTGATCCATCTGAAGTGACTCGTATTATTTTAGGTCTGGTGTGTGATTGCATGTTTTAGCTCAAGGTGTGTGTGTGAGTGTGTGTTTGTTTGTTTGTTTGTGTGAGTTCTTTAAAGTTGTTCAAATGAAGTTCTTAGCAGTGCATATTACTAATCAAAAATTAAGTTTTGATATATTTACGGTAGGACATTTACAAAATATCTTCATGGAACATGATCTTTACTTAATATCCTAATGATTTTTGGCATAAAATAAAAATGTAGAATTTTGACCCATACAATGTATTGTTGGTTATTGCTACAAATATACCCCAGCGACTTAACACTGCTTTTGTGCTCCAGGGTCACATATATCATACTGCTGAAGAGACACTGTAAATTTAATTAATAGATCTATTTATATTAAATATATATTCAAAATCAAATTAAATGTGCGTGTGTGTATATATAAAACTCTAAGTATATATTTAATATGTATTTTAAAAATGTACTTATTATTTATGCATTTATTAATGTATTTATTTGACAGTGTTTCTTCAGCAGTATGTTAGCTCTGTATATGTTTGTGTGTTTCTCACCGGTGTGACTCCTTCAGTGTCTGGTGAGCTGCCAGATGAAGGAGGCTCCACCCCCAGCCTGTAATCTGACTGTAGACGATATGAAATACAACAATATGATCAAGACGACATAATCTGCAGTAATACTGTGTACATATGTTATAATGTACATCATAATTTAGTTTCCCATGACCCTTTTCTCATCCTCTGTTACCATTACAGGCTTTCTTCTATGTTGCTGTCCCTTTAAATAATCATTGCAATGAAACAAATGGATCAGAAGTAAATAATTAAAAATACTATTGTATTTTCCTCTGCTATTTTTGAATAACGTGTTTTCTGTTTCAACGTTTAGCTGGTTTTCTGATGAAATTACTTTCTATTCTTTTTTTTTGCATGCATGTTAATTTTATTAAAAAAATAAAAAATTAAATTAAAATAGGCTATTAAAAAGACCAGCACACATGAAATATGTGGCATTGAGATGAATGGGAATAGATGTATGTGTATGCGTGTAAAAGTGCTGATATGCAGTTCCTCTCACCTTGCCGTTTGCAGAAGCTCTCTGCGCCTGTGAGGGCAGGAACATGGAGTAGGAGTGGCTGACGTGTGCCACGCCCCCTGCTAAGGCGGGGTTTCTGTGATGGGCATCGCCTAACGCACCAGAGGCGGAGCTAAGGGCTTCAGACGACGCCATGTGCTGCATGCTCTGCACGGGACGATATCAGGTTAGCTTCACTCAATTCAATCCAATCACATTAGATTCAGTCCAGTTGCATTACATCTGCCTCACTTCATCTCAATAATGTTGGGTTTAATTTGTTTATCCTCCAACCACTCAACTCAATTAGCAGACTCAGTTACAGCAGCAGTGGTCAAAAGCAGCTTAACGGACAGACTGAACCCCGGTTCCTCCATATGCTGCGGATTAGTCCAGGATCATACGCTCACCGCCCAAAAACAACAGCACAGACACGAGGAAACGCAAAGACAGAAGCAATGCATTTCACCTCTTTCTGTCCAATCAATCTTTGAATGACTTGAATGATCTGCAAGTGAGGCGGATCTTAGCAAAACACAAAGTGAAATTAAAGGTCTTTGAGCGTTAGGAACTTTAATGACTGATGGTCTAAATGGAAATGGAAACCGTTTATTAAAATAAACAGCACAAACAAAAAATATGCACCAAATCTGAAAATAGTTACCACATTCTTATAGTTAATAGTTTGGAATAAATGTAAAAATGCTTAAAAACACTAAATTATTAAAGTAATTACTTTGTCTTAATAAATATACCACTAAATACTTTGTTAGTGTAAACATTGTTTTTGTAAAAAAAACAAAAACAAAAGTTAATTTATTTTAGCTGGAAATATAGTAGAATTAAGTGAAACTGGAACATGAATTTACCACATATAATATAATAATTAATATAATTATGATAGATAGATAGATAGATAGATAGATAGATGATAGATAGATAGATAGATAGATAAACAAAATATTTATGATAGATAGACATAACATATTTATGATAGATAGATAGATAGATAGATAAACATAAAATATTTATGATAGATAGATAGATAGATAGATAAACATAAAATATTTATGATAGATAGATAGATAGATAGATAAACATAAAATATTTATGATAGATAGATAGATAGATAGATAAACAAAATATTTATGATAGATAAATAGATAGATAGACATAACATATTTATGATAGATAGATAGATAGATAGATATATAGATACAGTATCTCACAGAAGTGAGTACACCCCTCACATTTTTGTAAATATTTTATTATATCTTTTTATGTGACAACACTGAAGAAATACATACATTTTCACTTAGGGGTGTACTCACTTTTGTGGCCAGCGGTTTAGACATTAATGGCTGTGTGTTGAGTTATACTGTGAGATACTGTAGATAGATAGATAGATAGACAGACAGACAGACAGACAGACAGATAGATAGATAGATAGACAGACAGACAGATAGACAGATAGATAGATAGATAGATAGATAGATAGATAGATCACACCTGACTCAGCTGCCAGCCATTGGCATCATGGGTAATGTAGGAGAGGTCAGGCGAGAGCTGAAAGAGAAGGTAAACGGGTTGATTTGAGAAAGTTCAGTCGACACTCAGTGGAAGAAACAGTCAGACTGAAACCGACTGTTTGAGAAGAATAGAAAAACTGGAAACTCATCTATCTTTGCTTTCATCAAGACCAGAAGTGGGACGCAAAACGGTTCACCAAAGCCCTCGATATCGACAAATCATTTCAAAACACCGATACTCACTTTCAAACAATCATAGTAATAAATGCCTTTGTGCTTTTGTTCCTAATGAGAACGCGTTAAATATGACAATGCAAATCTGTGTGAATATCAGATGTGAAACTCTTGCGTTTCTTCCTCTTTGGAGATGAAAAGCATCAGGCTGACTTACGGAGCCGCAGATCTCCTGTAATCCAGCGAGAGCCGCGTTTAATCCAGAGTCTCTTCAGAAAATCACACGCTCATCTGATCAGACTCAGCTCACGGCCAGCTCAACTTCCTCTTCACAAGAGGAAGACGCCAGCGCGCTCTGTATTTCTCGCTCGAACCGTTTGTCAATAAGGAAGTTGAGTCGTGAAGGGTGTGAAAGTCAAATTCACACGTGCATGAAGGAAGCTCTTCTTTAACTGACAGACTCAGTCATCTGTGGCTTCATTCACACAGTTCTGTTCACACACGCTTCACTTACGAACCAGACTGAACTCGCTCCGAAACTCTGGAATCCAGATATATTACATACAGGGTTCCTACGCAGTCTGGAAAAGTATGGAATTTGATTTTGAAGTATTTTCCAGGTCTGGAAAAGTATGGAAAACAGAAAGCAGAGTATGGAAAAATATTTGTGTTTCCAGACTTTTCCCCCTATTATTTTTTTATAATAGAAAATTAAGTATTTGATGCAAATAAATTTATTGTGCAAGAAGTAGCAGCTGTTTAGTGATTCTTTAGCGATTGTCAAATATGCATTTTTTGATTATGCAAAATGCAGGTTATAAGCATTTTGGGTTTCTTCTCACAATTGTGACCCTGGACCACAAAACCAGTCATAAGGATACATTTTTTGAAATTGAGATTTATACATATACGTTTGTTAGGATAGGACAATATTTGGCTGAGATACAACTATTTGAAAATCTGGAATCTGAGGGTACAAAAAAATCTAAATATTGAGAAAATCATCTTTAAAGTTGTCCAAATGAAGTTCTTAGCAATGCATATTACTAATCAAAAATTAAGTTTTGATATATTTACGGTAGGAAATTTACACAATATCTTCATGGACATGATCTTTACTTAATATCCTAATGATTTTTGGCATAAAAGAAAAATGGATCATTTTGACCCATACAATGTATTTTTGGCTATTGCTACAAATATACCTGTGCTGCTTATGACTGCTTTTGTGCTCCAGAGTCACAATTCTTATCACTGTATGACATAGCCTCAAGGAGCTTTGCAAAAATAAAAAAATATACAGACTTTTCGTGTGCATGAGAAACCTTTAAACTTGGCATATGCACACTGAGACACCTATTGTGTGTGTCTTGGCCGCCACAAAGTATGCATTAAAGAGACCTAAGGCCTTGAAATATTGCATACTGCCCTAATGAAGGCCAAATTCGAAACACTTTTTACAGTACCAGTCTTTTTTTATAGACCCTTGAACTTGGCAAATTTTGTCATCAGCCCATTTTGTGTCATGGTTTCTGTGCCGTCACAGTGCATGTGTCACGAATCCTGTCCATGAACTTCCATCCACAATGGATCCGCACGTCTCACGCCTCTGTCGCCCCGTAACAGAATGTTTTAAATCGGACATTATGCCTTAATATTAGCGGTAATACAATAAGGAAAGCCAAGTAGATCTCTGTTCATTTCAATTCATGTGCATCCATGCTCTCACTTTATTCATAGTGATGCACAAAGGAAATAGGCTATATAAAACGAGCAATTGTAATGCATAAGCATGCAAAAAATTCCAATGCGCATGTGAATAGTTTCTCGAGGGCATGCACACAAGAAAAAAGTTTGTGTGCATGTAAATGTCTGTATTTTTATTATTATTTTTATTTTAGGGAACACTTCGAGAAAATCAATATAAAAAAAAACTGAGAAAATAAAAATATTTACAAATGACTGTACTGTATACCAAAAGCTGAAAATAATGCTCTATGAAGCATTTATGTTAAATATGGTCTGAAAATCTACTGAGAGGTTTGGAAATTTGAGTCTGGAAAAGTATGGAATTTTAAAATGGAAAATGGAGACTTGTAAACGTTCTAGTCTAGTCACGTCTAGTTTGGTGCCTGATTGCCTGTTTCCTGATCTCCTGCCTGTCTTGGATTCTTCTATTGCCTACCTCTCTGGACATTGTTCGCCGATCTCAGACCCACACTAGCCTTTGGATTACTCTTCATCTTGCCTCTTCTATTACTGTTTGCTGTGTATCGACCCATGCCTGTTTCATGACCACGCCTTTTAATAAAAGCATGCAAATGGATCCGCACGTCTCACGCCTCTGTCGCCCCGTAACAGAATGTTTTAAATCGGACATTATGCCTTAATATTAGAGGTAATACAATAAGGAAAGCCAAGTAGATCTCTGTTCATTTCAATTCATGTGCATCCATGCTCTCACTTTATTCATAGTGATGCACAAAGGAAATAGGCTATATAAAACGAGCAATTGTAATGCATAACCATGCAAAAAATTCCCATGCGCGTGCAGGAAACTAGCCATTGTCAGACATATGAAACTTATTTATACACTTAAACTTAAAACATTTGAAATGTTTCCTTGGTAACTAACTTATATAAAACAAGTTAAAGTTTTCATTGATGAAAATGAATTAAATAAAAATGAATTAATGAAAATTATATTTATTTAATGATTTTAGTTAATAATACACTGTCTGTTGTTGTATGAAAAGGATATTTAATATATTTTAAATTATTTAATATATATATATTTTTTTTTTATGTTCAGTTTTCATTTAAATTTTTTAATTGTGATGATTTAGATTTAATTCTATTTTATTAAATGTTTAAACTTTTGTAATTTTGTTTGTGCTTTTATTCCAAACAGTTAACATTTGTTATACGTTTAGTTAGTTGCCAATGTCACATTTATAATTTCTATTTAATCTTAAGTTTTTCATCTAATACTTTTATTTTATTTTATTTCAGCTTCACTTTAATTAATGAAAATGGTATTTAATAATTTAAGTTAATAATAGCAACACCGGCAATCACCCATTATTAAGCACTATTGTCAATCCCAAACCATTAACTGTCTGAAAGCTCAGCACAAATATCTGTTAGTAGAGATTTAATAAATAAATAAATGCACGTCAGAGAGCGTAATCCCCTTTTTCATTTGGCCGTGTCTCCTCTTCTAATCCGTGACATGAACAGATTCTTCTGCACCGGCCCCAGCAATCCTATGCAGTCTGCAAAATATTATCAATGATCAAATTCATTTAAGATAAATTTCAAGAAAACAGTACTGCACCCTAGAGATGAACACTACCCAAAGTAGTGTAAAAATACAGAATGTGGCTGGCAACCCAGCTGCCAGTATTTTACTGTAAATTTACAACGAAAAGTTTTACAGTGTGTGACTGAGTTTCCAGTGTGTTTCTAATGCTCTTTGTTCATATAATCTCTCTGTAATGGACTTCCTATAGACAGTAGATCATTAGATAGATGATGTACTTTCACACAGCATTACATCACATCATCATAATCACCTGCAAACACACACACTCACACTCACCTGCAAACACACACACACACACTCACACTCACCTGCAAACACACACACACACACACACACTCACTCACACTCACCTGCAAACACACACACACTCACTCCTTGTAATACCTGTCATACCTTTGTCATTATACAAATTTATGTCCTCATTTGTCACAAAAATGCGCACACACACACACACACACACACGCACACACACACACACACAGGTTTGTTTTTGTGGAAAGTGGGGACATCCCATAGGCGTAATGTTTTTTCTACTGTACAGACCGTATATTCTATTGTCCTACACCAACCCTAGCCCTAAACCTACCCCTTACAGGAAACTTTGTGCTATTTCAGATTTTCAATACACTCCATTCTGTGTGATTTATAAGCGTTTTGAAAAGTGGGGACATGGGGTAATGTCCTGAAAAGTCACCTTCTCCTTGTAATACCTATGTCATACCTTTGTCATTATACAAATTTATGTCCTCATTTGTCACAAAAACGCGCTCACTCACACACACTCACTCACTCTCACTCACTCACTCACACACACTCACACACGCGCACACACACACTCACACACACACACACACTCACTCACACACACATACACACTCACACACACACACACACTCACACTCTCACACACACACACACACACACACACACACACTGTACCCTGTGCATTGAGCTGCTTCCTGAGTTCTGTAATGGGAGCGACAGGTGCCTGATGTCACGCTGAACCATCCCGACCTAAAAACACACCAGACAGAGATGCACAGGTGCATTAGAAATGGCCTGCATGCATATTCAGAATTTATAGGGCCTCAGGCAAATAAAATGTTTAATCTCATTATTTGCTGGTTAATTAATCAAATTAATTGCAAATTAATTGCACATCAATTTGGGTCATCAATTTTAAGTCACTGTTTTGTTAAATGAGAAATGCATTGAATAGACATTACAAAAAGCACATTTTGTTTCAACGGCATAAATAATGATAATAAAATAAACAATGCGGTTTTTTTAAAGAACACTGAAATATGACATTAAAAATATGAATATGAATCATCTAAATGTGAAACTACAACTGCCACTAGGTAGTGTCAAATCACTGTCTTAATGAGTGAAACATTGAATCATTTACTGAACCGATTCATTCAAACAGCTAATTAATTCAGAAACAAAAGCAAATTACTCTTTATGAATGAGTCATTGAATCACTGACTCACTCGGTTCGTTCAAAACGCTGATTCATTCAAAATGAAGCTAGTGACTCTTTATGAAGAGTCACTGAATCACTGACTCACTTGATTTGTTCAAACAGATAATTCATTCATAAACAAAGCAAATTGAATCACTGACTCACTCGGTTCATTCAAAACTGTGGATTCATTCAGTCTGTGTGTTGCTCAGGGACGCTCAACAGTTCTGCTGTGGTTTCGATTGCAACTATTTTCATTGGTGAAATTGAGCAAAAAAAGACAATATTGACAATACTGTGTCTAAAATGTAACACAATATGAACTTGTTTATTGAACTGTTGTATAAAATCAATATCACATTTGCAGTGGCGCAGATATTGAGGAAGAACAGCACTCTTGCTCATGTGATATTGTTTAAATATATAATATGAAATAAATATAAGAGGGGCATTTTTTAAGACATCCCTAAGAACTGAATGTTTCTGTTTTTCAAAATATATAATATACTGTATAAAGTAGAAATTATTTAAAGGGGTCATATGATGCGATTTCATGTTTTCCTTTGTCTTTGGAGTGTTACAAGCTGTTCATGCATAGATGAGAATAAAGTCTCAAACCCACGCCCTCCTAAAACGCCTCGTTTAAACACGCCCCCACATGTCTACGTCACTGTGTGGGAGGATTTGCATAACGCCGCCCAAATGTTTACGCAAAGAAAGACGGCGTAACTTTTATTCTCGCTGTAGTATTGTTGTCGTGGAGACGCTGTGTGTTTCCAAATATGGTAAGGGGCGTAACATTTCCGTCACACGCTTGAGGTATTCGGCCAATCACAACGAACTGGATAGCTGGCCAATCAGAGCACACCTCGCTTTTCAGACCGATGAGCTTTGTAAAAATCGACGCGTTTCAGAAAGGCGGGGCATAGAGGAGAAACAGGGTTTTGTGTTTTTTAACCCTAAACCACGTAAACACATTTCATTACACCAAATACACAAAATAATGTTATTTTTAGCAACATCATATGACCCCTTTAAAAAAATGGACTGACGCGTGATTGGACGTCTCTGATTGGTCCATGGTCGCTGGTTCCGGGATCTGATTGGTCGCTCACCTTGTTTTGGTGGGCGTGGCTCTCGCGGGCTCTGCGCGGAGGTTTCCACGAGCGCTCCTCGGTAACAGTGTTGACGTAGTAACAGCGTCCGGTTCCGGGGTCGCAGTACTGATCCCACAGCTGCAGCGTCTGCAGGGGTCGTTGACCCGGCAACGGCTTGGGAGGCTCCGCCCACTGCTGCTTCCCCTGCTCTGACAGGGAACTCTGGGAAATGTAGGCAGATGATGAGATCTGAGGAGAGAAACATTAGAGAGATTAGAAAAAAACTTGGTGCATAGTTCACTGAAGATGCAGCACATAGCATTATTATTATTTTTCTTATTGCATTTATTAATATTTTAACACTTTTATTTTTAAATAAGATTTGATCTTTTTAGTTTCCATTTTAATTTTAGTAATTTTATGTGCTTTTGCCATTTTATTTATTTTTAAACATTTCTATATAGTTTTATTTTTTTATTTCAGTTTAAGTTTGTAATTTTAGTACTTTTACTTCAATTTTATATATATATATATATATAAGTACTAAAATTTCAACTACTAACAATCATTTTTAGTAATTGAAAATATTTAAATGAAACAAAATACAAATCATTACATGAAAAATTAAAAAATTAGAAACTGAAATGATGCTTAATACTAAATACTAAAATTACAAACTTAAACTGATTTCATGGAAACTTATTTAAATTTTCTAATTTCTAATTTCCATGTAATATATAACATTTTTTTTATTTCAGTTTTATTTAAATTACTAAAAATGATTTCCAATAGTTTTAGTTTCAGTTTTCTTATTTCAGTTTTAGTTTTAGTAATTTTCGTAAGTTGAAAAAATCAACTTATTTTCAGGTTTTTCCAAGTAATACTTTATATTTTATTTCAGCTTTATTTAAATTTTTTTTTTTCAATTTTAGTAACTTGACTACTGTACATTTTTTCACAGCTTCAATTCATTTTTTGTCATCTGATATTTTGTAATTATTTTATTTCAGCTTGATTAATTTAAAGATGATTTGTAATAGTTTTAGTGAACAATAACTACACTGGTTCTAACACATTTCAGAACAGCATGAAATCAATCGTACCGTAAACGCTGATGTAATTCTGCTTTCAAACGTTGTTTTGTTTCAGCAACACTCACTGATTTAAAACCGGTTTAAAAAGCAATTACTGCATTTCTGTTTTGGTTCATGCAATCATGATTTCTGATGCAATCCTCTTAGTGTGTGTCTAATTTGTGTATGTGAGACTAATTAGTGCGTATGCAAGATGATCCAGGTTTAAAGGTGGACAGAGTTGAACTTGAGAGTGCATTTTGGGACTAAAAGTGAGCGTTGTGTGTCAGTGCGGTTACAGACGTACATGCACTAAGTAAGAAAACAGCTTGAAGCCACAACTGTCAAGAGGAAGTGGCCTAAAACACAGTCAGACACGACAATATGAACAATACAGAGCGAGAGAAGGAAGAAAAGCCATTAGTAGCCACTGAACAATAAATCAGCTGAATGTAAAAGGTTTGCTGAGTGCACTTAAAAGCTCTGACTGATGGATTAGGATGTGTTTCTGTGCTGTGAATCTCATGGAGATGCTGCGTAAACAGAGGGATGTTTTCTGAGGTGAGAACGCTGTAGATCTGGATTATATAACTCATCTCTGTGAAGCCATATGGCCACGCGGCGAGAGCGGGACGAGCGTCATGCCACAGACAAACAGCAGGTGTCTCTCTCTCTGACTCCTGGAGCAGGATATATATATATATATATATATATCACTATTACAGACTAACTCCTTCAGTACAGAATAAAACAGGCTGTTGAAAGCAAGTCGGTTCGTTTGAAGCTTGAACGCTGATGTTGTTTTGCAGGAGAAACGGTTGAACTTGTGTGTTTCTGAGCTTTTGGGTGTGTTTGAGTGTGTTAACACAAGCAGACGGCAGCTTTATCACTGTAAAATGCAGAAATTAAACACTGAAAACTAGTGCATGAGACATGACGAGATTTAACCCTGTAAAGCCTGACATACATTTTTTTTAAATGCAACAGTTTATTTACTTTTAGACAATCTTAAAAAAAATGTTGCATACTGTATGTATCATATTTGATCCATCAGGCTTTTATGGCGTGTGTGTGTGTGTGTGTGTGTGTGTGTGTGTGTGTGTGTGTGAGCGTGTGTGTGTCTCACATCTCTGGCTCTCTGTTAATGCTGAGTTTTGTGTTTTGAGTCCAGCTGCTTCTTGCACGTGTGTTGAGCTGGTTCTGGGTGTGCCAGGTTCAGTACACCGGTTTAATACAGATCAAAGCGTCACGTCTGACCACGTACAGATCCACCGCACCGACACACAAGCCGCTGAGCTGAGTTTTCCAGCTCCTAACGGAGTGAAACATATTATAGAGATCATCCTTTCCTTGGGAACTCTTTCAGAAATTAACCCTGTAAAGCCAGACATTTGAAATAATAGTCAGAAAAAATGCAAAATATTTAATAAAACCTTGCATATGTTTTTTGTAGGGCTGTCAGTTTAACGCGTCAACTTAATTAATTAGTTATGAAAAAAATAACGTGATTGAAATAATTTAATACCCAAATAATCCAAATAACCCAGCGCTGGGTAAATATTAGACAGAACACACGCTGGGTTATTTTGACATTAAATGATCTAAATATCAGTCGTCTCTATATCTCCAGTAATCTGTCTCAGTGAGATGAGATGGAAATGCTCCAAACATATAATGCAGTGACTGAGAGCTTAAGAGCTTTTACTGATAAAAACTCTAAACTATCAATCAGAGACAGAAGACATGAGGAGATTGAGTTTGATCATTTAGAGTCATAGAAATGGGCTTCTTAGGGTTCTAAAGTGTGCGTGTGCCATCTTTAAATGTCCCAGTACACTGAGCAATGAGCATGAGATTGAAGTGACGGTTTTATTGTGCACATCCAGAGTGATGTCACTTCCTGTCAGTTTCTGTGGCAATGCTCTGATCGCAGAGAGCTGTTCAACATCAGAGCAATAACCATCTAAACAGCTGAAATCACCATGAGTGGCACAAGTCCACAATAATTATTAGAAATGGCCAACAAATCCCCCATAATATTTGATACTGATGCTTTGTTTGTTATTAGGATCACAAAAATGTTTAAATGTTTGTAAATGTAAATTCAGTTTTAACAGTGAGGTTAGATGACAGTCACTAAACATTTAATATTTGGCAGGTGTTTTACAATAGAAATGTTCTTTATGGTTCTTAATGGAACCATTTAGACAAAAAAGGTTCTTCTATGGCATCGTGAAGCACCTTCATTTTTAAGAGTGTAGGACTGCTAGGAGATAAACCTGATACTAAAATGAAAGAGTTTCCTGAGCTACTGTATAAAGAGTGATGTTCTCTCTCTGTCACGTGTGTAAGTGTTGGATTTGTCCATGATGATGTTGGCCTCTTTAGCTCAGGCGGGATGTAGGATGGAGTGTGTGTGTGTGTGAGTGTGTGTGTGAGTGTGAGTGAGTGTGTGTGTGAGAGTGTGAGTGTGTGTGTGAGTGAGTGTGTGTGTATGAGTGTGTGTGAGTGAGTGTGTGTGTATGAGTGTGAGTGAGTGTGTGTGTGTGTGTGTGTGTGTGTGTGTGTGAGTGAGTGTGAGTGAGTGTGAGTGTGAGTGAGTGTGTGTGTGTGTTGTGTGTGTGTGTGTGTGTTGTGTAATGGCTCCTCTGTGCCTGATCGGCTAGAAAGTCTTTTCTGGCACAGCGTGGCCACGGTTTTCAACAGGGATTGTATTTAAGGATCTACTGTATATCGAGAGCTGGTTAAAAATTCAAACTCAAGAACTTCTGTGAAATATGAGAGTGTGTGTGCTTGTTTTGTGTGTATATTGCCAAAAACTAAATAACACAAATATTACTGCCGTACGTTTTACAAGAAAATACTATTGCAGTCTTTCTGCTTCAAATTTCATATTCAATTCAATGTTATTTTGCAATTTCTTTGTAATTATTTGTAAAATTTACTAGCCATGTCTGAGTGAAAATTGTTTCTACACCAAATTATTTAAGTATAGGATTTATTTTGTAAAACATGGTCAAGTCAAAGTGTCTGAATAATTTTTGGTCCCAAATTGTTATCAGTTTTACTGGTAGTCCACTGTATGAAGAATTATTGTGTATAACATATCACAGTTTACTTTATTTCGCTATCCTCACTTAGATAAATGAATATAGTGTCCTGCACCCACTATTAAAAAATATAAAAAATTATATCTGGTGTCTGAATACTTTTTGGTTTGACTCTATTTATATATTTGTATTGATATATTTGTCATTAATAAATCCATATTTTTTTCAATCTCATACATTTTCAACTAATTAAATATTGCTTGTTCCACAGATAGCAATATTTTAACCATTCATAGTTTTTTAACCTAAATAAACTGAATTGTTTTCATAATAAACAGATATGTGCTGATTCTGGGTTATTTGAATAAATACATTTTGAAAATATGATTTTATGATTTAAATAAAATACATTTTTAATTGAAAATTGTTTAACCTGTTTATATAAATACAAAACTGAGTTCATAATTTTTAATTGAATACATTTTATTCAATCCAATTTAATTTTCATAATAAACAAATTTATGCTGATTTTAAGCAATTTTAATAAATGCATTTGAAAATATGATTTTATGATTTAAATAAAATCAATTTCTGAGTGACAATAGTGAATGATGATTAAATGTGGGTGTGTGTGAAAAAAATTCAGATGTAACCCCCTTTGTAATCGTTAACATTTTCATAAGTAACTAATTTAATTACACATTTTTTCTGAGTAACTGTAACTGATTACAATTACATTTATTTTGTAATTAAATTACGTAATTTAGTTACATGTAACTTCCCAACACTAAGCGTCAGTTATGATATATGTGACCCTGGAGCACAAACCAGTCTAAAGCCTCGTACACACGGGACGATTATCGCGCGCGCTTATCGCAGACGTTTTTGTGTTCATACCCAAGCGATTTTCGCTGGCGATGAGCCGAGTGAACGTGCAAATTCACTCCCTGACATTAGATTGCGCTTAATGAAAAACAGAAATACCCCGGTACACATCGAATCCTATTTGATCTGCAATTCCTCTTATCGAGATTTTTGATGTTTATCGAGATTTTTGTAGTCGCTATCGCGTTTGTCATAAAGCTCTTTGTGTTCAGACACCAATGAGACCAGTGTAACAGCTCCAGGCACGTGAACAAAAGCGCCAATCTCATTGGTCGGCCAGTTTTTAACGCGGCGCGTCAAACCAAAAAAACGAGCCCAAAGCATTTTTTAAAAAATGACGCTTTTAAACGTCGGCGATAATCGCGCGCAATATTCGTCCTGGTGTGAACAAGCCTTTAAGTCACTGGGAAAGAGAAAGGAAAAAATTAAATTGCATCATATGACCCCTTTAAAGGTGATTTTCTCAATATTTAGATTTTTTTGCACACTCAGATTCCAGATTTTCAAATAGTTGTATCTCAGCCAAATATTGTCCTATCCTAACAAACCATACATACATCAATGGAAAGCTTATTCACCTGTATGCGTCCCTGCGTGTGTCTGCGAGCGGCCGCGCTCATGTCCCACTGGCTGCAGGATTTAGTCGGGCTGCTGGGGCTCGGGTCCTGGTTCTGGTATGGGTTCTGGGGAAGGTTGCTGGAGCTTTGGCAGTGGGCGATCGGGACGCCCGGAACCGAGAGGTGACCCGAGGGTGAGGCGGAGGAACCGGAGAGGGGTAATGTCGGGAAACGTCCTTGCGCTGATACTCTGTGTTTGTCCATCAAGGCACTGCTGCAGCTGAGATTCTCCATGGAACGACAGAACTGCTTATCAGGCACTGAGAGGAACCACAGACAAAACAGGCCAATTAGACCTTAAAGAGACAGCTCATCCAGAAACTAAATGGGCTTCGTGACTTAATGGAAACTTCAGGAGATCTCTACCTTTTATTATACTGAAATATGAACTTAAAGGGATAGTTCACTCAAAAATGAAAATGCTGTCATTAATTACTCGCCCTCATGTCGTTCCAAACCTGTAAGACTTTCGTTCATCTTCAGAACACAAATTAAGATATTTTTGATGAACTCCGAGAGCTCTCTGATCTCCGTAGACAGCAAGGATCCTAACACGATCAACGCACAGAAACATAGCAAGGACATCGTTAAAATAATCCATGTGACATCAGGGGTTCAACCGTAATTTTACAAAGCTACGAGAATACATTTTGTGCGCAAAGAAAACAAAAATAACAACTTTATTCAACAATTTGTCTCTCCGCGTCACTCTGTAGCGCCATTTTGGAGAGTGTAACATACGTAAACAAATACGTTTTATCTAATAAAGAAAAGAAAAGAAAACAAATAGATAGAATACAAAAAGAATAGAGAAGCTGGTGTTAGTTTTTTTTAATTAAAGAAAACAAGCAGTAAGTAAATGAATAAAAGGTCTAAAAGGGTTAAAAAAAAATTAAGAATAGAATTAGAATAGAGAGTGCTAGAGTTAGAGGGTCAAATAAAGATAGAAGAGATGTGTTTTTAGCCGATTCTTGAAGATGTTGAGCCACTGACGTCACATGGATTATTTTAACGATCTCCTTGCTACGTTTCTGTGCGTTGATCGTGGTAATATCCTTGCTGTCTATGGAGCGTCAGAGAGCTCTCGGAGTTCATCAAAATATTTCTTCATTTGTGTTCCGAAGATGAACGAAGGTCTTACAGGTTTGGAATGACATGCATGTCAAGGCTTGCCTAGTGATGTTGGAAGCTGGTTTACGGAGAGTGTGTCCTAACCATCTCCAGCGATGTTGGATGATCTCTTCGTCTGCTGGTTTTTGGCTTGTGCGCTGCCAGAGTTCCTGGTTGCTGATGGTAATCTGATCTGGAGAATGCACCGCAGACATATGTTGATAAATGTCTGTATCTTTTTGGTGGTGGTTACAGTGGTCCTCCATGCTTCACAGCCATAGAGCAGCACTGATCTTTGTTTTGATGGACAAGTCTCTTGAGCTCCAGATATTCTTTAGTTAGAGAAAAGCTGTCCTGGCCTTGCCAATCCTTGCTTTCACATCGGCGTCAGTTCCACCCTGTTTATTTATGATGCTGCCATGGTATGTGAAGTCGTCCACCTCCTCTAGCAGTTCCCCTTCCAGCACGATGGGTGATGTGTTGGTAGTGTTGACCTTCAGGACCTTGCTCTTCCCTTTGTGGATGTTGAGGCCAAGGTGAGTGGAGTTTTCTGCCACAATGCTGGTATTTTCCTGCATCTGCTGCTGGGTGTGGGAAAGAAGGGCCAAGTCCATAGAGTCCATAGGTTCCATAGAGTCCACTGGATGCCGTTTAGCTTTTCCGCTGTGGACGTTTTCATGACCCAATCGATGGCCAGCAGGAACAAAAACGGCGACAACAAACAACCCTGCCTCACTCCTGTTTGTACCAGAAGGGCGTCTGTGAGTTGACCGCTGTGGACCGCTCTACAAGTCAATCCCTCGTAAGAGTTCCTGATGATGTTAGGGATTTTCTCCGGCACCCCGTAATGTCTAAGCAGCCTCCAAAGTTATGCCCTGTCCACACTATCGAACGCCTTCTCGAAGTCAATAAAATTGACGTACAGGGATGAGTTCCACTCAAGAGACGATCGAGAGTTGTGATCTGGTCCGTGCATGATCTATCTTTGCGAAAGCAAGCCTGTTGGTCTCGTAGCTGGGGGTCGACAACGTCCTTCATCCTTTCCAGTAGAATCCTGTTAAAAACCTTCCCCGGGATGGATAGTAGTATAATCCCTCTATAGTTAGAACAGGAGCTCAAGTTGCCTTTCTTTGGTATCTTAATGAGCTAACACTCTTTCCATTCTGTGGGTACTTGTTCTTCTTCCCATATCTTCTTAAAAAGGGGATGGAGCATCTCTACTTTGGCCTGTTAGTGTCCAGCCCATTTTCTCTTCTGTCCTTAATCATCATTTATCAGTTTTCCTTCCTTGTCTTTTACTGGTCTTTCTGGTTTACTAATCTTTCCAGCTAACTTTTTGGTGGTGGCATACAAGTCTTTCATGTTTCTATTTCTGGCTGCTTCTTCTGTTACTAGGGTCTCTACATAGTTATTTTTATCTACCTTTATACTTTTCTTGACACTCTTGTTTGCTTGTGTATATTGTTCCTGTGCCTTGGCTTTCTCTGCACATGTGCGGCTGTTGTTTTTTGCCGCTTTCTTCTCTTTTCTATGTTCTATTCTCAACTGGTTCAGGTCATACTTAGAAGGGAGAGGTTATTATGTGAGTATAGGAGAGCATAAGTCTAAGTGGACGTCTATGACATGCGGAGTCCCACAAGGCTCAATTCTTGCACCGCTCGTTTAGCCTGTATATGCTCCCACTAAGTCAAATAATGAGAAAGAACCAAATTGCATATCACAGCTATGCTGATGATACCCAGATTCACCTAGCCTTATCTCCAAATGACTACAGCCCCATTCACTCCCTCTGCCAATGCATTGATGAAATTAACAGTTGGATGTGCCAGAACTTTCTTCAGTTAAACAAGGAAAAAACTGAAGTCATTGCATTTGGAAACAAAGACGAATTTCTCAAGGCGATTGCAAACCTTGACTCTAGGTGTCAAACAACAAAAAATCAAGTCAAGAATCTTGGTGTGATTCTGGAGACAGACCTTAGTTTCAGTAGTCATGTCAAAGCAGTAACTAAATCAGCATACTATCATCTCAAAAACATTGCAAGAATTAGATGTTTTGTTTCCAGTCAAGCCTTGGAGAAACTTGTTCATGCCTTTATCACCAGCAGGGTGGACTATTGTAATGGTCTCCTCACCGGCCTTCCCAAGAAGACCATTAGACAGCTGCAGCTCATCCAGAACGCTGCTGCCAGAATTCTGACTAGAACCAGAAAATCTGAGCATATTACACCAGTCCTCAGGTCCTTACACTGGCTTCCAGTTATATTTAGGATTGATTTTAAAGTACTTTTACTCGTTTATAAATCACTCAATGGCCTAGGACCTAAATACATAGCAGATATGTTCACTGAATATAAACCTAACAGACCACTCAGATCATTAGGATCAAGTCAGTTAGAAATACCAAGGGTTCACACAAAACAAGGGGAGTCTGCTTTTAGTTATTATGCCGCCCGCAGTTGGAATCAGCTTCCAGAAGAGATCAGATGTGCTAAAACATTAGTCACATTTAAATCTAGACTCAAAACTCATCTGTTTAGCTGTGCATTTATTGAATGAGCACTGTGCTACGTCCGAACTGATTGCACTGTATTTTATGTATAATCATTTTCTATTCTTAACTGTTTTAAATTCACTTTAAATCATTTTCAAAGTTTGTAATTCCTTGATTTATTGTTGTGATTATTTTTTATGATTATTTTACTTTCTTTTATGTAAAGCACTTTGAATTACCATTGTGTATGAAATGTGCTATATAAATAAACTTGCCTTGCCTTGCCTAAGTTTCAGCTTTACACGGGCGACAAGGAGATGGTGGTCCGAAGCAACGTCAGTGCCTCGTCTGACACGCACATCTTGGAGGGACCTTCTGAATTTCTTGGTAATACATACATGGTCAATCTGGTTCTCGGTGGAGAGGTACGCTGATATCAAGGTAGCCTTGTGTATTTTTCTGTGAGGGAAGACGCTTCCTCCTATGACTAGATTTCTTACGTCGCAAAGGTCAGCAAACCTCTCTCCATTTTCATTCATCTCCCCCAAGCCCTCTCGTCCCATGACCTCCTCATAGTTGTCTTGCCCGATCTTTGCATTAAAGTCTCCCATTACATGGTGATGTCTCTTCCTGAGTGACTGTCAGTGATGGTCTGCAATCTGTTGTAAAAGTCTTCCTTATCATCTTCCTCGCTGTCATTTGTCGGGGCATAACACTGGATAATATTCATGTTTAGTCTTCTCTTCTTAGTTCTAAATGAAGCAGTGATGAGTCTTGGTCCATGTGCCTCCCATCCAATGAGCGCTCTCTGTGCAGTTATGGAAAGCATGAAGGCCACTCCCTGGGTGTGTCCTGAGAACAGCAGTAATTCTCCTGTGGGGAGCCTTTTCTGGCCGGAGTCTGGATGGATGGAGGATGCTGATGTTATAATTCCTCATCTCCGCTGCCACCTGCGCTGTCTTTCCAGATTCGAACATGGTGCTCACATTGCATGTTCCGATGATGGTGGTGGTCCTGGTGGAAATGATGGTCTTCGGCCTGGTAGCTTCCAGTGTCTGGCTTTTACTACCCGGCTTTATAGCATCTCCAGCCGGAGATCCATCCTCTCCCAGAACCGATAGGTCAGTTGAAATCCTTGTTGGCGTTTCTGTAGCAAGATCTTTTTTACGGGGAGGGGTTGCTAGCCCTTCGCCCAACCCTCCTCCTTTTACATCCGGGCTTGGGACCGGCAATGGCGGAATGACATGAGGGTGAGTAATCAATGACAGAATTTTAATTTTTGGGTGAACTAACCCTTTAATGTAAAACTCCATGAAAGTGAAAAAAAAAAAACAGTACCAACCCCAAACTTCAATGGTAGTGTATTTATAAAAATGAGATCTACCTGAGCCGTGCGTTTGCATGCAGGGTGTGAGGGAACCTCGTGGAATCATCTTGAAGCTCTCGGATGCTGATTGGCTGGAGGGCAGAGAGGGGCGGAACTGGCTGATAGGCAGCTCAATGACGTATGTCGCCGGCACATATATGGGTTTGACCTTCGCGCCGACCCCGATCCTCCGCACCTGCCACCAGTCCGCATTGGTCTTCTTCAGCAGCAGAAAGCGCTCGCCCTCGTGTATGGAGACCAGATGGCCGTCGACGGCGCGGTACGAGTAATCATACTGAGCCTCCAGAACCACAGTACTGCCCAGCCTGGACCCCGAGATCACGGTTCCACGGCGCCAGCTTCCCGACAGCATGGTTCCTCTCAGAGACACACGGAGGGTGATCGTTGGACAAGGACACCACCAGAGCGAGACGACACGAGTGCCATGATCTGAAACAGAAAGGCTTGTTACTCTCACAATATAATATACTGATATTATGCCACACCCTAAAAAATGCTGGGTTAAATATAACCCAGCGCTGGGTTAAAAAGGGACAAACCCAGCTATTGGGTTGTTTTGACCCAGCGGTTGGGTTCAAAACAACCCAATCGCTGGGTTTGTCCATATTTTACCCAGCACTGGGTTGTATTTAACCCAGCATTTTTTAGAGTGTACCCACTGTGTGTTGTTATTAATCGATGGTCCTTTGCAGAGATTGGTCACAATTTCTTTTTACATGTGGTTTAGTTTGTAATTACATGTTTAAAGATACCTGATGAAGGTCATGCGACTGAAACGTCTTAAATAAACGTTTTTGATACATAAAACATAATACAAAAAAGTGCAAAAAGACTAATTCATACACATTTCAAAACCGTCGAGGATAAAATACACAAAAAAGCCATCGGCTTATTTCCATTGTGGTCCTCTGTATTTTAAAAAATGGATGAACATATCATAAATGGAGTGCAATCCACATCAAGTTCAGAAACTCACCACACAAACTTCAAAACATGATAAAACAACCATTTTTTAACTCCCCTTCTAAAAATACTATCAACTTGTATCTCTTGAATACACTCAAGTAATTTATTCCAAGCAACAGAGCTAGTATATAAGAAAGATTTTTTTCCCATTTCACTCTTAAACCTACAAGGATATATATTTAATTACTACTCGCCCTTGTAGAAAGACAAGTACATAATATTCTAACAGAGACTTTGCAGTGAATGGGTGCCGTCAGAATGAGAGTCCAAACAGCTGATAAAAACATCACAATAATCCACAAGTAATCCACACCACTCCAGTCCATCAGTTAACATCTGGAGAAGACAAAAGCTGAAACAAAGCCATCATTAAGACACTTTTAACTAAAATACGAGTCCATAATCCATAATAACACTTCCTCCAGTGAAAAAAAAATTTTGCTAGATCCAGAATAGAAATCTGCACA